ATGAATACCATCCGTAAGGAAGCACATCTGCTTGGTTTTCATGGTCGTGCCCATAAGCCTTCGATCACAAAGTCCAACCGCGCTGCTCGGTTAATGTGGTGCAAAGCACATCGAAATTGGACTGTATATCAGTGGAAACGGGTTCTTTGGAGTGACGAATCAAGATTCACCCTTTACCGTTCGGATGGCAGGGTCTGGGTCACAATCTGGTGTCTACCTTGAGAACGTTTCCTGCCAGAATGCGTTGTGCCAACAGTCAAGTTCGGCGGAGGTGGAATTATGGTCTGGGGGTGTTTCTCCTGGTATGGGCTGGGACCCTTGGTCCCCATTCATGGTAAGCTCAACTCCGATGCCTACTGCACTATTTTGTATGACAATGTGCTTCCTACGTTGTGGCAGTTTTACGGGTTGGACCCCTGTTACTTTCAGGATGACAATGCCAGTTGTCATGTTTCAACGTTAACCAAGGCTTGGTATGGGGCCAATGGAGTTCATCGAATGGACTGGCCTGCCCAGAGTCCAGACCTGAACCCTATCGAGAACCTCTGAGACGAGTTGCATCGCCGAATTCAGGGGTGCACTACCCGTGCAAAATCGGTGAATGAACTTCTATGTCTTCACCAAGCCGAGTGGAAGAATATACCACTAGCTGTCATACAAAGACTTGTGGAAAGTATGACCCGGAGGGTCCACGCTGTAATTACCTCTCGTGGAGGCTCTACCAACTGTTGATTTTGAATAAAGTCAGTTTTTATTTTCTACCACCAGGTGTCCAAATACTTATTGGTAGTCAGTGCAGTACTTATTAGTATTATTCTTATTTCATTTGTAACAAAATAAAATTCAAAAATACCTGTGTATATAATCAAAATTATAAGTGTTTTTGTATTTATTTAAAGGAATGTTGGTTATCTTAACAAAATAAGAAATATGTCTTTATTTTTTATGAGCCAGGATATATCAGCTGATATATGTGATAATACTATTTCAAATAACGATTTTCTAACTTCCTAAACAAGGGTATGTGAGATCGTGTAATAATAGTCTCTCCTTGTAGCTGCGTTAGACCCATATCACACGGTGTTAGTTTCACACGAACAACTGTTTCGAACAAGTGCTGCCTTTCCAAAAATATTGCAAATTGTTCATTTTCAACCAATCAGCTTCGAATGCTATCAGCTTGTTTGTAATGGGGAAACCAGTTTTCCCTGTGTTAACCCCAAAGCGATCTATGGTGATTGGCTGTTGTGACAAAGCAGAAAAATTGTTCCAAACAGTTGGTTCTTCCGAAACAAACCGACGTGTGATAGCAGCCTCACGCGGTAAAGTCGCTGAAGACTAGTAGTTCGCTCCGGGGTTCGAGTCCCGGGGAACGGGCTGGCTGAATGGGCGTTTCGTGGTTTTCCCCATGTATAACGTGTATGCGAGTCAGTTTCCCTTAGAAAGTTCTTCACGAAAGTATCTTTCCCCATAACCCTTTAACTGTCAAGTTATTTTGATGATTTGGGTACACAAATTGTCAATTTTTTTTATTGCAAAAGTCAAATGTTTAGTACAAAATAAAATATTCTTAAGTAGTTAAAAATTGATATTTTGAAGTACATGGGTAAAATTTTTAAAGTTTTGTAGCCACTGCATATTTGCTTGAGGCGGCTGCCACTCAACATGGCAGTTGTAAAGTTCGCTTCTATAGGAGCATTATTTTCTAAAAATGAAAAAAAAAATATTATTTTCTAAAAATAAAAAAGAAAAAAAAAGTAAATATAAGTGAATACTTATTAGTAGTTCAGTAATTCAGTCTTGTGTGGTACAACTGGAAACACTTTTCCAAGCACAAACCAACTCCACAATCACTACACCAGAATCGTGATTCCTTCCTTATCTTTTCCTCATTTTTATCCTTTTTCGAACAACACACTTTGCACTGTCTTGTAGGCGCACGTTTCGCAGGAGTAGGAGGAATATGGGATATGAAATGTCGTTCAGTAAGACGGGCAGGGTTATCTATTGTAGGTGGTCTGCCAACATTCTTTTGTCCAGAAGCTGCATCATCGTATTTATGTAAAAGCTCTTCTACAACTTGGATTCGAAATTCTGGAAATGTAATATGTTTCCCAACTACATTTTTATAGAGCAAATATGAGTTCCAAAGTACCTTGTCTAGTAAATGTAAAAATATCTTTTTATAATATTTTTTCTGACGTTTAACGGATTGTTGGATGAAAGGATATTTCCTAATCACAGCGATCTACACCACCCATAGTTAGACTGCAATTAGAAACAATCTTCGGCTTGAGTATATCTTCCATTTTTTATTTGTTTTTTATTTTTGAGGCTGACCGTGGAAGTATCATGAAATACTGCTCATCAAACACACATCCTTCATCTTCGGTTGAAGAATCTAAATCATCTATATAACGTTTCAAAAAACTGAAGACGCCATTTTACAACAAAAAGATCCCATGCACTTTGAAACCAAAGAACTTATAACCTCTAACCTTTGAAATCTTCAGTTAAAGTGCTGTCATCTATTGAACTGAGCGCGCATTAACTTTTCCCGAGATACAGTCGGGTTTGACAAAGAGATGAAGCCGAAATAAACATCTTCCGATATATATTCGGGTATAACAATACGATGCACTTAAAAAAAAAAAAAAAAAAATTACCCCGAGTAATACTCGGGCGTGACATTTTCGAACACCAGTGCTGTGCCCGAGATTATCTCGGGCATGACAGTTAAAAGGTTAAGCAGATAGCCCTCCCGTGCTTCTCCATAATTAAACAAACCCAACCAACCAAACCTAGCTGCATTATATTCAGCAGGTTACGGTTTCATGACCTAACAGGAGGGAATTGGGTTTCAAAAATGACTATTATCGGATTTCTTTTCATTACCAAAAAAAGTGAGCGTAAAGTTCCAGACTTACACAAACATTTTACGTGTATTTAATTACAAAATGTAGAAAATCATTTTGTTTTCAATTGGTTTTTCTGGATATCACTGCCAAAACCGGAAAATACGAAAAACCTCCGATGTCTTGGGATAGAAAAATAGTATAATACTAAAGAAAATCCGATGGGGAAAAAAAAAAAAAAAAAAAAAATGCGTTGGTTATTTCAAGACAAAACTTTGAATTAACTTTAACAATTGATCTGACACGGATCCCGCACTTCACGTTTTTACCTTCCTGAGTGTGTATATTATTTATTATTTTCATCCTTTTGGGAGAAAATACTGCGTCTGTTGTATTTTAAAAGGAAACTGTTGGCCATTTTCAACGAATAATTCATTACATATCTAAAAATTCTCAGCAAAAAATATGATTATAACTGAACTGTACCGTTACGGACACTTTTTTTTTTTTTTTTTTACTGATTTAAAGGTTAATGTAATGTGCAATGAGTTAAAAATTCCTTCCTTATATATTTTGAATTTTTTCTCATGGTTTGGCTTATTGGTTCACTTCTGGTGTGTGTGAATGTTACTTTATTTTCGCTTTTTAGTTATTCAGCGATAATGCATGAATTTGAATTTCATTTCTTTCAGCTTCGTTTATTAAGCTTTAATTTGTTGCTGTGTTATTTAAGTAATTGTTGTAAAAGGTTATTCGTCAAAATACATAATGAAAACGGCGCCTGAAGTTGTTGCATATTTTTGAGTACTGATAGCAAGCAGATGGGGGAAATCTCTACGTCTGCGTGTAGCACTTCCGAAAATCTTCAATATTTTGCCAACAAGGTGATAGAAGTCGCCAAAGGCAGCAGCAAATGACCACGCGTAGACGTCCTTGCCGTTGGAAAAGCGCGCCCGAAAGTCGACAGCTGTTCCAAATTTTGGTTGTACGCCCTCCGCAGGAATTTATAGCGCGATCGATGATGCATTAGTTGCTCCTGGTGCTGATAAGAAGGGGAAAGAGAAAGTGTGGTTAGCTCGCGGAATATTTTTCGGTAACAAACTTAAAATACGCGCGCTGAAGTAAAGCATAGTACGGTGGCTTCGATTATTATTTCTCTTAGCACTTCTTTATAAATTGATTCCGTCCACTATTTAATTGTCTTTAATAGATGCTTTCTATACATAAAGTAAAAAATAACTTAATGTATTAATTAATAATAATAAATGTTTAATTTGCTATAGTGTCAAACCCTCCTTTTTTAAAGCGTGTTTTTAGTAGTATTACATCTTTCTTAGTAGCAAACAAATTTTTATTTAGCATTCTTTAGAATTTTTTTTTTTTTTTTTTTTTTTTTTTTTTTTTTAAAGGGGGTGAGTGCGAGTAAAATATAAATTATAATTTTAAAAAAGGTGTTCACCGTAAGAGTTTTTTAAAGTAGGTTCTTTGGATGTTTAGAAAATCAATTTCCAGCAGATTCTGTAGTATCGCATTAAAACAGAAAAATAAAATTTATTATATGAGATATAGTTGTTAAAACTTAAAAATTAGATTAATAATATTAACTAAATTATAACAACAGAATAAAAATAAAGACATAAAAATTTCTTAGCCTTCCAGGTCCTGCATCTGGTTTAAATTTTAATTCCTCTTGAATGTTAATTACGTGTTCAGCGCGAGTTGAGATCACGGGTATCCAAATTGTTAAGGTTAACTGTTAAGTAGAAAGTATTCCAAATGGATAATGATGTCTTTTTTGTAGTGAGAAGAATTATTTTGAATTATACGAAACCATTCTAAAAGTATCTTGTAAGAAAAAATGTAAATTGATAATTTTATATTTGATACACGTATGGATAAAATCTGCATCAAAATTGCATATACTTCTACTTGCTTGAAGAATGTCATCTCTTAAGTGTTTATTAAACAATTACATGTATTTGGATCAGGGATGGAAACATAATTCGAAATCCTCATATTTTGAAGCTTTGCTATGAAACTGGGAATTAGAGATATATATTAAGCCGCCATCTTATGTATAAATTGTTATTTTATTAAATATTTTATCACATTTTCATAATTTTTCCTTATTTATTTTTATTTTAGAATCCCACAGCACCCAGCCCATTAGGTCAAATACCGCCAAATGATGGCATGCCAGGAGGTCCAATGGCTCCTGCAGGCTTCTTTCCTGTAAGTTAATTTTTTATTCCTCAAAAATATAATTTTCCTAAAAAATAAAAAAAAATTAAAAAAAAAAAAAATAAATAAATAAAGAGATCATAACGCGAATCAATATAATTTATTTTTCCTTGTTAACTCTTAATTCCATTTACGCATGTTCCACAAAGTAATATAAATACTTAAGTGTTAGTTATGTAAATCAAACGTTGCTGAAATTTACGGAATTAAGTGATGCGATGTAAATGGTTAAAAAATCAGTTTTTCGTTTTAAGAGATGTATCGCCGATGCTGCCATCTATAGGAACTAAGTGCAACTATTTATGATGCTACAACCTTCAGGCAGAAATCCTAATTTCTTCTAGTGCTGCCATCTGGCGGATGTAAAATTTCACCATCGTCTCGTGCTGACATCTATCGGCTGTATCTTAAATTAATGTCGTATTTTATGTAATTTAAAGCTACGATTACTAGTGTTCATTGTTGTATATATGATAACAATTCCAGATTCAAGAACGAAGATAATGTTGTTAATATTTTAGAATGTTATAAAGAACATAGCATGCCTGTGCAGCATATTTCATCTAGACCTTGTAGATATTTTTCAGGATAAGGCATTGTAGACACAGAAAGTTGTATTATTTCAGTAATAATAAAGTGTATAATAGAAAAAAGTTATTTAGTAAAATATGTTTAAATGCCTCCTTTAATTAAAAATGTGAAGAAATTTTTATTATATTTTAATGCAATAATATTTAGACTTTCCAGTTATTTTCATGTTTTCTTTATTTTATTATCAAGGTAACATGGCATTTGTTTCACTGTGTAACCTCATGCTGTATTAGTGATTTAGTCACAGAAAATGTGTGACTGGATATTTATAAATGGTGTGCAAGATTCAATGTCTATTTTTTTTTCTGTCATAACTCTCTGTCAGTTCCAGATGTGGTTATTTCAATATAATAAAAATGGGAAAATATTTCTACATGTTGTTTTTTTGATTGATATGATCCCATTCTTGATATAAGAATTATTATCATTCGCTCCATCCAAAATATATATATACACATCTGATTTTCATAAAATTTTAAGAATTTAAGTAGATTAATTTATTTTAAATTTATAGATTTATTTTTATTTAAATGGATTTTGAAAATTTATTAACTTTGCTCTATTTTTCTGAATTATTCATTTTAATAACAATTAAAAATTAGCATTAAAAATAAAAGTTACTAAGTAGTAAATAAAAAATTATTTTAAATTCTTATGAATGGAAAGTAAAAGTCTGAAATTTAACTCTCATGTTACAGCTGTGTAATTTTTCTTTTTGAAATATTATGCGATCATTCAGTAATTAAATGTGCATTATGCATCATTAATAACATCAATAAACAAAATAAGCATTATAAATTTTATTTACTACACCCAGAATTATTGCATATTCACCAAAAATTTACCCCTTTAAATCACTGGATATTAAATTTTAAGAATTTATATTAAGGAAGACAGAAAAAATTCTAATTTGATTAATAGTTTGAAATTTTTATTTTGAAGAATGTATGACATTGTAGAGACATTAGGTTAATTGGAAAAGCCAGAGAGATGAAAAATGAGCAATTGCCTTTGCTGGAAATCGAACCACGAATTCCAGCCCAGTTCTGCACACTGGGCTGGAATACCGACCCAGTGTGCAGAACCACTACACCATGAAGGCATGCTAGGAAAGCCTGAGAGATACCTTATATACTCCCCTATTTAAAGGGCGACTATAGTTTTTAGGGGACCCACTCGCCAAATCCTGGGTATGGAGAATTCTCATCCAACACCCTTCTAGTTCGGGCACCACTGTAAAGACATTAGGTTAATTGGAAAATCCGGAGAGATGAAAAATTAGCAACTGCCTTCGTCGGGAATCAGACCACGGACCTCTGGAATACCGGCCCAGCTTGCAGAACCACTAAACCACGAAGGTACGCTAGGAAGACGGGAGGAATACCTTATAACATCATAGTCAAAAAGTACTTAGTCAAAAGATTTATACATGAATTTTAAAACCTTTCACAGGAAGGGGGGAAATGTACTTTTGTGAACTGATTAATTAAAAAGTAATTCAACTCTAAAAAGGTAGAGAGAGAAGGAAATGGGCGAAAAAAAGATATATCAATTAAATGGTAAATATATCTTCATTTATATCAAATAAATATTGATTCAGAGCATTATTACATTAGTGTAGCTCTAATCATTGCCAAGCTTAAATGTTACTTCTATTTCATTTGTTGTCACCAATCATAAACGTTGTTACAAAATGGAACAACATTTATGAAATAGTGAAAAGAATAAGAGACTTTCATAAACAATTATTTATTACATGCATGCTAATACATTAAAATCCATATTAATTATTCAAACTAAAAAAAGATAATAAATAAATTAAAGCCCAGTTTAAATAAATTGGAACTGGGCTTTAATTTATTTATTGGTATGGAATTTTTAATGTTTTTTAGTAGTGCTGAAAGCATTTTTGTTTTAGGATGCAAGTGTTGCCACATAAACTCGAACAAGTTTGATTCTAAATGGTGGCAAGCAGATGGTTTGTTTTGCCATTTAGCACTTCGCATTTTTTCTGGAGGCCCACAAACAGAATTAAACTTATTTCAGCAATGCTGTGTAGGGTAATTCAAATATGCAAATGAAGTAAAATCTATAATGTTATTTTTAAATAGTTACTTGCAATTAGGATTTATTAACCCTCTAAGCGGCAAGGCCGTATATATACGGCCTAGAATATTTATTGTGATAACTGTAAGAACGTATATATACGTGCATATTAAAATATGTCAATGAAATTAAGGCAATATATCAAAAGAAAACAAATCCAGGTATGAAATACCAGTAGAGTTTTTACATTAAAATCAAAAAAATAATTTGTTCTCATAGTAGTTTTGGGAAATTTGTGCTTTCTTAGCGAAAACCCTGGCCACCCAGGGGGTCAAATATTCATAATCTATACTGGGTGGTTCAAAACTATGTGTCAAAAATTTAAAGGCAGGTAGATTGGACCTGAATAAGCAGATTTCGTATAGGAATGTGTGTGCTGTAATGCCACATTAAAGCACTAGTAAGTAAAGCAGTATGAATCACAGGAAACTGAAAAGACAAGTAGAGACAAAAGAAAAAAAAATTAAATTTACAATAGGTGCTCAAAAGAGTGGCCACCAACAATGATACAAGATTCAGATAATGGTGCATGGATTGGGTTACATTAGAAAAGACATCAGGCATGTCAAACAAATGTCCTGTAGCAACAGATAAGCAGGCAACACGATCTGCAAATGTGACAGGACTTTCCTATACGAGGCTTTTAATATGACCCCAAAAGAAGAAATCAAAGCAGGTTAAATCAAGGGAATGCAGTGGCCAAGGAACTGGTCTGCCTTGTCCTGTCCACTAATGGCCATAGGCAGCGTCTAGGTGATTCTCACTGTTCCAGCTGAAGTGAGTTGGATCTCTATTGTACTGACCAACATTCATCCACCAACAGTCCAAGCTCAGATGTGGAAGGTAATCGTCAGGGGTCATTGCTTGCACTTTCTGTAAATGATACAGATGCATTCCTTCTTCATGTAAAGTCCTCAAAACAGTTGCATGGCTCGCATCCAACGCATGATCTACAGATCTTGAGCTTGATGAAGGACTATCCCTACTGTGTTTAATATTCTTTCTTCTACTGCAGGAATTCTGCAATATTTTGCAATCACGGCTGTACGCATAAAATGATCCACTTGTACTTAACTCCCAGCGAAGACACTTAAATGTTCTATGATCCGGCTGATTCCTATCCGGGAATTGCTCGCTCCCTGTACATCCTTTGAGCATCTAATCCATTTCCTTGTGCAGCCCCCATACATGAAATGTATGTCAGCAAGCTCTGCATTGGTGTTATAATGCATGTTGCTTGAGATCCATGTGGGAAATGAAGAATCTAGCTAGTGCACTGCTTTTATATGCCACACTCATCAGCGCTGTCTACCGGTTCGATGCAACATTACCACACACACATTCCTATTCAAAATCTGCTTACTTAGGTCCCCTCTACCTGTCTTTGCATTTTTGACTTTGAAAAGAATAATTGGCTTAAGTTTGGTTTTACTGATCTTCGCTTTTAATGGATAAGAATTTTTATATATAATAAATATTTTGTAAATAACCAGTGTATTAAATCTAGGGGAACTGACAGAGAAAACTCTTTTTAAATTTATTCTCGAATCTCTTTCATCTAGATTTCAGTTGTGCATGTTGTTTCATGTTCAAAATGACTTGCAGTGCTAATGTTGCTCTTGTGGCTCTTTCTGTGCTAATATTTTTCTCTGCCTTTTGTATTCTGTAGAGTCATGAGATGGAGTGGCATATTCTCATTTTCTCAAGTATATTACTATGCCTTCCTTTTTTATTCATTATATTTCAGCTACATGGGATATGTTCACTTTTTTGTAAAAAGCACATTTTGAAATTCCAAAATATAAAATAGTTTTTTTATGTATTAAGCAAAATATTTACTGTTTATTTTAATTTATATGGTGTTTTTAGTTGGGCCTTTGTAGTTGAAATATAAAAAGAAATTTCTAATAAATAAAAATAAATCCCTTCTAAGTGAATTTTAATACCTCAAGATCCTAAATTAGTCAATGTAAAGGATTACTACAAACATTTAAAATATTTTGAAAAAGTATTTGAAAATAGTCTTTATATTCTTAGAAAGAAAGTTTCCTATACTTTATATAAATATATTTTGTTAATTATGTAAAAATAAAAACTGTGTTTTCTACTACTTATCTTTCTGTATTTTCTTTAAAAAAAATAACTTGCATTTCTGAACTCTTAAGATACATTTTTATCTGTGAGTGCTGTTTTCTGTTCTATGAATTTCTAGAGTTTTTCTATTCTTGTAAAATTTGCTAAATTCTGGAAGTGTCATTTTTGCAAAATTTGCTATACTTTGGAAATTTGCTATATTTTGCAGTTAGTAAATCCTGTCTATCATGAGTAATTTAAGTGATATGTTATTTAAATTTTAAAATGTTTTGTAAGGATATAAAGTTCCAACTAAAAATGATTAGTTTGATATATTAAAAGTTTTATCTAACTTTATAAAAGTTACTTTAAAAATGCATTTAAAAAATGTAAAATTTGAGATATTCTTTAGCTTGGATTTAATTTACTTCTGGTGTAAACACTTAAATTTTAAATTACTTTAATCTTGAATAATGAGGAATGCCACCCCATCACTATGTAGTGTAGTTTGTAATGCTGCATAGTGAATGTGTAGCTGCTGCCAGCCCTTGAACAAAAACCCTGCTTTCTCCCTTCCGCAGAACTCTCACATGAGGCCCTCGCCACCACAGCAGCCAGTGTCGCAGCCGTCCCCTCACCCGCAGCCCCCACCCCCTCACAGTCAGATGATCCAGAATCAGGTGAGAAAAAACAAAACATGAAAACAATGAATTACTGAAAGTTTAAAAAAAAAAAAGTGCACAAACCTCAGAATGCATTTTTTTCCTGCCTGAACTTTGTCATAATTTATTTATTATTTTTTTAATTAAAAAGAAATATCCTCGCTTGAGCAAAACCTTTTACTAGAAGAAAACTTTGTTTGCTTACACTATTTATTTCTGTTACAAACAGTGAATTTTTTTTAAGGGAATCAACACTTTTCAATTATAAATTTGAAAGTGGACTTAAAAAATACATCAATGGCAGCTAATTTAAATTAAATATTAAAGTACAAGTAGCCTTTAAAGGTAATTAAACTAAATAGACTGTAAAAAACAAATCTTTATTTAGATTGTAAAAACAAATTGCTTTAATAATGAGAAATAATAAATTCAAAATTATAAGAACAAAATTCTTTATCAGATAAATAAACTTTATGAAATAAGAGCCATCAGTATTTTTATTTGGTAACATGATAAGTTCAAAAAAGTTCATATTAATGATCAGTTCAAAAAGCTTTATTAATAATTGCTTTGCAAAACTAGATACCATGTACTAGATTTAAATTTAAGATTTTATAGGATAAAAATATTGTCCACACATATATTGATTTGTAATGATAATCTAAAGTAATAATTTTTTTAACAAGAATGAAATAAATCAAATTGTATTGTGTAGCCACGTAAAAAGTTTTCTTTTTGTAAAAGGGATTGGCTTATTCCTGCTGCATTTAGTTCTTCACTTTTTTTCTGTGTGCTTAGTCTAGTAGTTATTTCTTCCTAACATTTTCCTCTCCGGTTTCTTTTCCTCTCAATTTGTGTGTATGTGTGAGTTTAACATGCATGTGAGCATGTTTTTGTTTGTGACTGATCAATAAAAGAGAAAGAAAAAAAATAGCTCATTACTAACAAATATGTCAATGTACAGGGTGCAAAATGATTTAAATTAATAAATTTTAGTTTTATTTTTCAGAATGTTGTTTTTATTAATATCATATAGAAATCAATGTGGTAGGAATTATACATTTTTTAATGTTTTCTTAACTGTTTGCTCCATTATAGTATAAAGATAAATTATAATTTGGGAAAAATATTCTGTAAACTAGCTCCATAATTGAATGAATTAATTATTTGATAAATAACAATTGACCTTTATAATAATTAATGTAGTTTTTATTCCTGAAAGAAAGCCATTTCATTATTTAAGAGGAGGGGAAATCAACAGAATTTTCAAAATAAGAATAAATAAATAAAAATACAGACATATAACATTGATAAGTATTATTTTTTTTAAATATTTTAATCTGTACAAAAACCTGCCAAAAAAGTAATTCTGAAATTACTAAAGTGGTAAAATTCTTGTAAAATAAATCAGTTATATAGTTTTAAAATTTTGTCTTCTGAAGAAATATTCCATTTAGTATTACAGTTAATGTTGAATGACAGAAGACTAAATTTATGTAGTACATAATAAAAAATATCCTCCCTTTTTTTCTGCACTATAACTTTTTTTTTTTTTTAAATCATTCTTGTATATGAATGGAAGTAAGTTGAAGCCTAATATTGAAGCTTTCAAATTTTTGGCACATTTTTCAAAAGAGTAAATTTTAAAATATATTTATTTTTATTTCTATGTTTCTTGACATTTATATTTTTATATCATAGTATTCGATATTATCTTTTTAGAATCTCAAATATTAGGTAGATGATTTATTGAGTAAACTTCTTAAGCATGGATAGGCTAAATCAATGTTTAAAATAAATCAGTATCTCTCTGTGGAATGACCTGGAAAGGGGGAAAAAATGTAAACAATATTTAATGTAAATTGCATGTGCAACTGCTTTTAAATGGTTAATTTTAGTATTTTCCTAGTTAAATATGAGTGTGCAAATTTTTCTGTCTTTTTAATTAAATTGCCTTTTGTTTTACTGTATGTGAACTCTTCTGTTATACCTTTTAAAATGAAATGTTAGCTAAAAATAAAAGATGTACCAAAATAAATTTTAAAGCATGCCATGCTTTCTATCAAGTGAGCACCCTGTACTTTTGACTGATGCTTAACTAAATTGCGCATGTTAATAATTATGGTGATGGTACTCTTATTTCTTAAAATAACAAAGATTTTTAATACATTTTATAGTTTCATTTTTAAATCAGTAAAATTGAAAATATCTTATATTGGATATATTGATGTGTTATCTTTAACAATTTTAATGAATTTTAATTTACTTCAGTAAAATGAAAGACAAACTATGATAGCAAATACTTTTCAGGTATTAAGATTTTAAAGATAATTGGATTTATTATGAAGTCCAACTTTTAAAAATGTTTGTATTACCTGGAAAATATAGCATATATATATATATTATATATATTGATGGCATGTTTATTGGTTGCATAATAAATATAACACATGTATTTTGTTAGTAATGATGATATGAAGTTTAAAAGATGTTTTTATTAAATGTATCTTGGATGTGCAAAAAAGAGCACTGTTTACAGAATATCACATGCCATATTTATGTCCAAGAGAAATTTTAAGAGAAAAACAATATCATTTTAAAAGGGAATGAAAAAAAAAAAAAAAAAAAAAAGCATTACAGTTGGAAAGTAAAAACACTACAATTATTTTTTTAACACAAAAAAGGGAATGAAAAAGAAAAAAAAAGCATTACAGTTGGAAAGTAAAAACACTACAATTATTTTTAACACAATTAAAATTCACTTAAATAATAAATTTTGAAATATTTTTGTAAGATTATAAATCACTGCATAAGAGCTCTAACTTCAAATTAATTAGTCTAGCATAAAACAACAAATTTTACAACTAAAGTAAAATAGTTTATAAACTAAGCTTCAGAAATGAATGGTGAAATGCAGTTATAAATGTGACTGTTCAGCAGCTCTTCCAAGGTATGAAATTATTTTTTTCCTATTTTTCTCATTTATTTAGGATACATTTCAAATTTTTATGTAATTATTATGTATAGAATTTCAAATAAAACTGTTAACTTTCATTAAATCACTGTTTCTCTTTATATTGTGCTTTGGTCTTCAATTTTTCGAATGAAAAGATAATTATTCATTTACATGCATGTGTTTTATTGAAATTCGTATTAATAAATTTGAATTAAATAAAAAATTAAACTTTTTTAATACATAATAGGAATTATTAATTTTTTGAAATATTGGTGATAAAGATTACTTTGGCATATATAATATTCAGCAGCTAGTATAGTGAACAAATTATGTATGACATGTTGATTATCTTTACTAAATCTGGGAATTTTGTGCGGAAAATTCTAAGAAAGTGTGCAATTTTGCATATCAAATCGTAATTTTGAGGGGAAAGGGGGAAAAAATATTTTTTTTCAGTTTAGCAATTTTATTTTGAAGTTCAAAATATCGAACAATGCAGGATCTCTTGCTATTTTATCCATTTTTTGCGATCTGGACTTTTAATTATTGATATTAAGTAAGAGGGAGAAATTTCCTGGTAATTATTTTTACAATTTTGTGGCGGTTGGGAACCGCCACAAAAACTTGCTGGCAAATCTGAAAATATAAAAATTCTGATTAGTTCTAGGTTTTGCACTGTATTTTTTACATAAAATATTATTATTAATGCGTATTTTTTTTATTTATTCACGAATTCATAAATTATGTCACCTCAAGAGCAAGCCCTGATTTTACCGTGAAATGGTTGTTCAACTTGGTGAAATGACTGTTCGCTTGGCTAATTTTTACCATGGCAAGTGCTGCCATCTGTTGCCTAATTGCTGTACCTTCAAATAAACGTAGTTCTTTGCTGCTTCCCTAGATGTCGCAGCGTGACCGTTCGATGGCATTCTCCATTTTGAAGCTTCTTCCTTCCTTCTTCCCCTTTCTATGGATACAAAAATAAATTTAGTTAGCGTTACGATATGGATTTTTTTAAAAATTATTATTTTTCTTCATAGATACAATCATTTACATATATGTACTTTTAAACATATAACGTAAAAAGCATTTGGAAATCAAATAAAAATAGAGGATAATTACAGTGTAACTTTTTAAGTATTCTTGGAACGGACTTTTATACCTTTTACAGTTTCCTTTTTGAATTGTTTTTCATTACTTCTATCTTTTTGTTACATCATTACAACTTTTAATTTAACCGTTGTGAGTACCAAGCATGTAGATTTAAATTTTTATTTTGCTGGCTAGCTATTTGACATAAAGTGTCCATTTGCTGTCAAATCCATTTCAAGCTAGTATGTTAATAGGAAGTAAAAACTTGAAGGATTGATTATTTATTTTGTGAAGTTTTTGGCTTGATTCAGCAGTGACCTCAAAATAAAGGATTCAAATCTCTTTTTATTTTTAATCTGTCATAGGTTTTCCTGATTGCAGGTTTAATGGGTTAAGAAACCTATAATTTAAGTGACAGCTTCTAAAGAGGGCTTAAGGAAAATTAAAAAATTCACAGTTGTATCTTTTGTTGTTTGGGCTGTATCTTTTATTTTTCCATCACTATACAATTTATATAACTGTATATGGTGTTCTGCTTATTAAGTTTGGAAGGAATTATTGAAGTTCTGCACATACATTTATTTCCCTCATTTTGTCATTCTTCTTAAGTTTTTTAGATATCCTTAAGTGTGTGTTGAAATAAGTTCTATTAATTTAATTTCCTATGTAAATATATTTTAAAAGCTTATGAAAGGGCACTAAAACTTAATCAACATCATAAATCATAACTTATCTTTTTTGGAGAAGGAAGAGAGTAAATTAAAAGAATTTTCTATTGAAATGTAAACTTTCAGTCTGAAATTAGTTTCTTCAAATTGATGGATAATTGATATTGGAGGATGAAATTTAAAAGTTTTTCTGCAGCATAAACAAACCACTCCTGCAACAGTTTAGTCTTTGCTTTTCTTCCACGAATTATAAATCAAATTCAATCAACCATCTCAAAATGTCTGTACGTGAAAAATGTTGAGATAAATTTAGTTTGTAAAGCTCTTCACGTCATTCTTTGGAAGTAACAGTAAAATATATGTAACAGTCTAAAAAATCTATTTATAACAGGATTTTTACCTTGTTATAAATAGTGAACCATTCCTTTTCTCGTTTGATAACTTTACAGTGCAGTACTCTCAAATAAACACTGAAGATAGAAATTTAGTAAGAATTTCTCTCCTATTTTTCACTTTCCTTGTTAAAAAATTTGGCCTTCTGAGGATTAGACTGGAATATGAACAGTAAGGTTAATAAAATGACTTGTTTCAAAGATAAATGTGTGTTTTAAAGGAACAAGAAAGGAAAACTTGGGCAAATCACGGACCGGGTCACATCGTGCGCAGAAAAACTCACAATAACATATTAAACGGGTCGTCAGAGCCGCATGGTCACATCGTTCTTTTCCGAATGGGAGTCACGAAGCACCGTGATCGGCTTTTACCCTCCCTTCATTTTCCTTTTCGCTGTGAATTCGAGAACTCATTAAACATACAGAATCGTAAAAACCGGTATCGCTTGATTTCGAACACCGTTAATAAATCTGTCAGTTTTTAATAGTATAGCAGACGGTCAATTGCTGAAATGAGCTGCTGGACTAAGCACTTTAAGTGGGACTTGGAAAGGCCGTGCAAAACGCCAAGGGGCATCATCACTTCTAAAAAACCAATTCTTTCTTTAAACGTTAGCTGAATATTAAGCGCTCTTTCGTTATTTTGCAACACCAGAAACATGTAACTGTTGCACAGGATCCATCTCAGTATTCAGAACTTCCTTGTGCGCGGAAAGATAAATTATATGGACAGTTATGTAACATGAAAGTGCAAACGCGTAGCATTGCTACTCGAATTAGATGAATTTAAGTTATCAGTCTCGTCCCGTTGATAGCTATATTCCTTTCCTCCGAAAAATTTAATGTTTCTTAAAAGTCTTATAGTGGGGTTTTTTTTTTCTTTGACTAGGTTTAGTAAACCAACGCGTAAGACACGTGATGTAATGTTTGAGCAAAATGAAGTAAAGATTCCTACAGCCAGTTGTTTCATTAAAACGCACGCTAAATAGATTGCAATTTTATACATTAAAAAGTTTGCAGGACAGCATGGAAGTTTTTAAGATTATGGAAAACATAGTTTGTTTTCAGCATGAATTTGGTGTTGATATCGAATAATAATAATAACAAAAATATTTAGAGTTTTAAGAATAAGAAGATAGGAAAAGGAAGAGACGAAACGTGAAGGGATAGTTATAGTTCTTGGCTTACTTTATGACTTGTATCTTGCCTCTTTGGCAGTTGTTTTAAGGCATCGATGTTCTTCAGTGCAATTTATGTGCAATCCCTCGGGCACATCTTCCTTACTCACGTAGAACTGAGTAGGCAGGAGCATGAAGTTTTCCTAACGAGGAAGAGGCGTGTTATTTTACCTCGCATCTTGCATTTCCTTCGCGGCCACTGCACAGTACTTGTTCATTTTTGCTCAATTATCGGGCTGTCAGGATGGACGAGTTTTTGACCTTCGCTGTTCAGGGGTTTCATGAACCTGCAATGAAAGTGAAAAAAGGAGAATGATAAGTAAAGAGAAGTTCTTCTATATTCACCTTTCTTTGAAGCTTTTATATACAGGAGTTCCAATATAGGAATGCAATATGCAATTAGTCGAATGATCAGCTTTTGTCAATATCATCTTCCCTGTTTCCCAAGGAGCTGTTTAGGAAAAAAAAAAAAAAAAAAACTACAGGATAATTAAAAATAAGAAAGAATTTGACATTCGCACTTTTCAAATCGGCTTTGCCTCACCAGTGACCGTGTGGTTAACGGTCAATGCTGGTAGATTGTTCTGAGTTCAAACCTAAGCGAACAGGCTAGTTTTCGTGATTTTCCCTATGCGTAATGTGAATATGAGCCAGTTTTCCCTAGAAAGTCCTCTATGAAGATATCCCCTCTCTTAGAAGGTAGTCCCCGTATGCGTTGCTACATTCCATTAACCATCAACCATCTCAAAATGTCTGTACGTGAAAAATGTTGAGATAAATTTAGTTTGTAAAGCTCTTCACGTCATTCTTTGGAAGTAACAGTAAAATATATGTAACAGTCTAAAAAACGAAGTTCTAAGGAAGATAACTGTGGACGATTAACTGTGCATAGAAAATGGACATTTCGGACACATTATTGGAACTATACATTTACTGCAAGAATTTTCACTAAATCTTCATTATTATTATTATAAATTAAAATATTAAATAATACTATTTAAACGACCGTTTTCAGTTTCGTACACTCAAAAATCTCAAATATAATTAAATTTCGATTTAATATTCATTTGAAGTTTTATCAATCTTATAATTCAAAGTAATTCAATTATACAGAAAATAACGAAAACATTTCGTGACAGGAGTGCTGTGAATTATTTAAAGAGATGGTATCGTTAGCTGAAAATCAGTTTCAATCACCATTACAGTAATTTGACTTAAGACAATAAGAAATAATGATCATTACTTCTTATTATCTTAAGTCAATAAGGAAGTGTGGCATATGGTATCACCAACACTTGTAATACAATATATATATATGGAAGACTGATATTAAGTACTGTTTCGTTAAAAATTTATACGGGTTCCATGCAAGGAAAGGAGGAAAAATAAATAAACAATTTAGATGACCAGTATTCAGCAACTGTAAGTAATAAAAAGTTCTATTCAAAAGGAGGAAATAATTGCATAAAAAATCGTGTAACAAAATAACACTGAAAATATTCTAATAATATTTTAATAAATAATAATAAAGTTTGAAAACAGCTGAAACAGCTTTGGGTATAATTTATAATTAATCCTTCAATCAGTTCCATGTAAATTATTTTCATACCTTTCTGATAATAATTTCACAGTTTCTTTAAATAACGTTAGAAATCATTTAAAATGTAGGCCTCAGTACTTCATGCATACTCAATCATTAAGTTTACTTCTCCCTTTTTGCCTATTCAGGTAGAGAATCTTGGTTTCCTAATTCATGGGCATTTCTCCAAGGCTAGCCAACCCATTGTCATCCAGGCAACAACCGAAGCTCCATCTCTTTTCAACCTCATGTGATTGAAACCGAATCTAACCCGGAATTTTCTTTTCACTCCGATACCTCAACCTTCCCCTTTTATATCTAATTCACGATTCATTTGGGTTGCCCCACCCATACTTTTACATTCCTCTCACACCCATTTTTATAATTGATCAACGTGACGCTATGTAACTAAACTCGGAAACTCGATCTGCAGTTGTTCTATTACTAGCAATTTTTAATAATTTTAGAAGTACAAAAGAAACACTTATTAAATTTTGTTATTAATTTTACGCTGTATCTGTATAAAGAATACGCACAGAAATCAAGGTTGTTGTACATCCTTGTGGGAAATCAATACATTAAAATTATTTTCAAAAAAAAAAAAAAGTGAGTGGATTTCATTATAACAAAGTTAGAATATTTTGTTACGGAAATCCCGACATCCCTTTCCTAAATTATTTTCTTTCCAGCTAGCCATTATTTTTCGGAAAGTTTTATCATCATGTGCTGCAATGCTGTTAAACAAACTTCGGACTGCTTTTGATGAAATCTTACAACAAGCCATATTCACCTTCTTTGAACATTTTGACTGTGGCCTTACCTTAAGTTTTTAATTTAGCTATCCCTTCATTTTGCTTTCCGCTGTGAAGGAAGGAACTTCCACTCCCTTAAGGAACTTCTACATTGAAATTACTATAGTTCAAAGTGTTGTAACATGCTTCTTTGAATTCGGCAGTTATTAATGGAAGACTACCGTATTTATTCTCGTAATAGTCGCACTCCCGTTTTAAAGCAGAAAAAATCGTCAAATGTATATAGTATTGTGCAGTAGATTTCCCCGCATAATAGTCGCACCTACACTTTCGCAGGTACAGGTAGAAGCTAGGCCAGCACCTCCGTAGTACCACAGGTAATCGAGGTATTGCTGAACCTAGCTAAATGTTAAACTTTCTACCCCAATTTTGAGGGAGAACACCCCGGGGGGGGATGGTCCGAGGATCTCCCGCCCTCTTTTTTTACCATCAACCCCTTGAGAGGACTTTCTGAGATTACCGATTTCTGGTATTAGTGTACACAAATCATACTGAGAAAAGACTGTCCTTGAACAGTTGAACAACCGATGCGTCCAAAAGTGTAAATATATGAACAAATGTCCTTTCTAAGGCGGAAGGTGTAATAAGCAAGTCTTGGGAGCTCCCGTCCATCAGCATTGCGTAGAAAAATGAAATTACCTACACTTTCACAATGAAAAATTGGCAAAAATAGTACGACTGTTACGCGAGTAAATACGGCAATTGTCATCAGTCTTTTGGCATCCAAAAGGCATCAGGCGCTTATTTTCATCGATTTGGATTTTAGGGGAAGTTTACCTTAGCAAAAAAGATAGTAGTTCCGAAGGTAGCCATAAAAACTATACTATTTAATGATGTATTGAGAAGAAATTTCAGTTCTTTATATACATATAAATTATTTACTTTAATTTTGCTTCAAGTCATACATACGACAAAAAGTCATTGCAAAATTTTGCTATATTCTGTGCAACCCTCTTGTAAATTTTAATCCTTAGAACGGTAGGTTCAAGACATCGCCAACTGGTAGAAACCAGCTATCGCAAAAAGCTGAAATAATTAGTCACCTATTAATCTACCTAAAGTTTTTTTTTTTTTTTTTTTTTTTTTTTTCGTCACTTTACATCTTATTGAGAGAATGGGTGTGGCTTAAAAAATGCGAAGATAGATTAGATAGCTTAAATATATGCGTTAGTCAAAATGAAAATCTTTTTTTAATTATGCTCTTTCCCCCCCCCTAGCTTCGCGGAAACGTCCTGTCCCATTTTGTATTTTAAAACAAAGATTCCTATATTAATAAACTTCATATCATCACAAAAGTGGAATTTTGTTTTACTGAGAAAAGTTAATAGTATTCCTGTTAATGTAGAGCTGATTTCATCACTCCTGAATCTGCACACCGTGATTTCTTTGAATTTAATTATTTAAGTTGAAAATATTAGTTGTCTTTGATCAGTATTATTGATTTTTTTTCTCTTTAAGTTAAAATTCTGTATTGTGCAGATTGGGAAAAAAAAAAAAAAAAAAAAAAAAAATCAGTTGAATTCAAAAATAATAGTAAAAAAATCACTTTAAAAGTATTTCAGCTGTTTAAAGTGTAACTGATTTCCTTATAATCATAAAAACTTCTGGAAGTATCGGAAATCTCTAAAAAAAATTAAACTCAGTTGCGTAACGACCCTAATGGGCCAAGGCCTGCAGTGCCCGAAATCTGCTTTCTTGACCGTGGGCCCCGCGGTGCGTAAAATCGGAAATCTCTAGATGTGGCAAAAAAAAGGTAGATGAAACATTTCGTGATTATCGTTTTTCTTCATCGAAATGAAATATGACTAAAAAATGCATGTCTATCAATATATTACTTTAATTCTTATCCTCCAATTATACGTAAAGGAAATAAGTTTTATTTGCTTGTACAAAAGTTATTTCATATTTTTTTCGAGTTATTGAAGAGCTTTAGCTTGTAACTAGTAATTTAAGTCTCAAACTGAAAAGATCCACTCATTTCCAATACCTGAATGTAATAAGACGCCAACAGACAAGCAGCTCGGCTAAAACCAATAACTAGTCGAGCGATGCTGGCGGTTGTAAACCACTATTACCCGCGAGCGAAATCTATTTCGTTGATCGTAACTGTACCTGGTACTTAAACCTGTGTGCTTACTATTCAATAGTCTAGGAAGCTTTATAGCCACTCCCATGTTCCGGTGGGGGGAAAGGGAATTCCAATTTTAAAAGGCTTGTCATGTTCTGTTCATTTTATTTCCTGCAGTCGTGCACCGAGAGATAAATTACAGAAACCTCGATAAAAACCTCGGCTATATCTTGTTTTGCTGGCGGCAAAAGAGAAGCTTTGCACTCAGAAACAGCTTCTGCCCCCCATTTTGGATCTGGGTAGAAATTATGCGAATTCCACGAAATCCAGTCTCGTTATACGTGATTCCGATATCCGCGATATTATTTTCGCGGCGCTGTCACTGTCATTAAGCGGATGCTTCTATGCATGACAAATGACATTTCAAATGAGTCCTGATACCAGATTAACTCTGGGACAGATATTTAATTTGTTAGCAGTCAAAAACCCAACAGATAAGCGAAATGAGTGAGTGTTCTTCAGTGAATCAATATGTAGCATTTTGAGCATCCTGAAGTATTTTTGAGATCTAGTTTATTTATTGTTTTTTAATAAGGAAATTTTACAGCTACTGTGGAGAGCAAATAAAATACAATAAGTAAGAAATCATAATCTAGTAACAGAGAAATTGAAAGAAGAAGTGCAATGTTAATAAAATATATATACTTTATATTACATTTGTAAGAAAATGTAATATAAACTTTTGCATTCTGTAATTAAACTCAAAATTCAATTCTAAATTGATATGCAATTTGAAAGTGTATGTCAATAAACCAAAAATAGGTTTTA